GTAAAAGGTAAGGACTCCTTTTAAAAACATAATCACATTATTATTATCACTCCTAGGAGAAATGAGTCATACTTCCTTAATATGGTCAATTACCAGTGTTCACATTTCCAGTTGTCTCAAGTGTCATGATTTTTTTGAGTGTGAATCATGATTCAGATGTCACCCATACAGTGCAGTTGGTTGCTACGTCTTTTCAAATCTCTTTCGGTCTCTTCACCATCTCTCTCAACACAGTTCTTTGTCTTTAGCGTTTCTTGTACCCTTGCTTCGCTGATTAAATTCTGGTGGTGGTATTGTGTGTATGTTCCATGATTCTCTTTATTTCCTATAAATTGGTTTTAGGTCTAGAGGGTTGGTCGGATATAGGCTGGTATATTCCCATCAGAAGGTGCATAATATCTGGTTGTTGTCTCTCTTTGCATTTAGCTATTGGTCTAAAATGTCACATTCATGAAATATTCTTTTTTTTTTTTCTTTAACAACTATTTAAAAATGTAAACACCATTCTTACATAGCCTCAGAATGGGGAGTGGTGGCCAAAGGAACCAGTCCTGGGATTAGAGGGTTTGAATTTACCTTTGGATAAGCAAACTAGTAAATAACGAGGAAATTTCTCTGTAAAAGTGTGTCAGCTAGTGCCTGAAGAAGGAATAACAAAATTAAAATATCAGCATTTTCAGTCCCTAATGGATTTGCACGTATCATCACTTGTTTTTATCTGTGGACCTTAAACATTTTTTTATTTAATCCAAAAATGGAGTCACAAGTAACTCTTCCATTAATTACATGTGTGTTCAAGTTCTGATCGAGGTTCTGGGCAGGGATTTATAATAGTTGAATTAATAATCAGGTAATCCTCCTGACTTACCTCGTAGTCATTGCCGAGAAATTGCATTCTCCAAATTACCTGTCTATAAAACAGATAATGTGGGGGCGCCTGGGTGGCGCAGTCGGTTAAGCGTCCGACTTCAGCCAGGTCACGATCTCGCGGTCCGTGAGTTCGAGCCCCGCGTCAGGCTCTGGGCTGATGGCTCAGAGCCTGGAGCCTGTTTCCGATTCTGTGTCTCCCTCTCTCTCTGCCCCTCCCCCATTCATGCTCTGTCTCTCTCTGTCCCAAAAATAAATAAACGTTGAAAAAAAAAATAAAAAAAACACAAAAAACAAAAAAAACAGATAATGTGTACCTACTTCTTAGAGTTTCTCCAGTTTTCTGCTTTATTAAATCAAGGACCAGATATCTATTAAAATGGTCTAAAAACTGTACAAGGATAACTCACAGAACGTGCTTTAGAGATGCCAGTTATTTTTTTAATCAGTGTCTTGGGGAAGCATACTACTCCAAACCTCTAATTATCCTTGTTCTCGGTTTGTGATTGGGAAAGCAGCCTAGCCTAAAAGTGGGGAGACACTCCTGTGGTTATCCATTTGCTGTAGTAGGATATCGGTTTGCTTTATGCGTTTCTGAACGCTGCAGACCTGGACTATTGAAGGAAAGCCATCTTTCTTCGTAGTTGCCTAATACAGCAGTTGCAATCAGGAACCTTCCGGGGCTCAGTTTGTAGTTTGAACCGCTGGGGCTCGGGGATTTTACTCGTAGTTCCCTACACCCAGAATTTACTTCCTCTCTGTGGTTTGTGCAAACCCACCTCACCTTCCAGCCTGTCACAGGTTGGTTTGATTTCTTCATTTTATGGAAGTGTTTCCTTCGTTGGTATGTAGAGGGTTTTTTTTGTTTTGTTTTGTTTTGTTTTTTTTTTTAGCACAATTCTTTGGACTAATTAAAAATTCAGTAAATAAAGTACTTTTTAAAAGTGGTACAGCTGCAAACATTTCCTCTTGAGCAGTAATTTGTAGAGGCCTTTCCGTGGCTCTGGTGGACACTGCGGTTGAATAGACCTCACGTAAATGGAAGAAATCTGAGTACTGGGGAGCAGACACCCCTGCAGTGTCTTAGCAGAAATAAGTATGTTATCGTTATCGAGGTAGGGCAAAACTCGTAACTAGCTATTTTTAGCAGGAGTCTGGCTTTTCATGCCTACCTGGTGACTCACAGAAGACAGTTTTGTGAATCAGATAATTGAGCTGGCCTTCAGGAAGTTCTGATCACATTGTACAATAAATAGATGGTATGTGATCATAAAAAATTGTGGGTGAAAAAAGAGGAGAAAACTAGTATCCACTTGGGGAGTTTGGAGGAGAGTCCCAGAAGTATGAACTTTTAATCAGCAACGATGGACTTTTGGTTCACAGTACTTAGGTTAGGCTGTTTTCAAGAATTAAAAGTCAGCCTCCTTGAGGCAAAACAATGTGGTAGCCAGGGAAGCAAGGGGGACTTATTCTCAGCACCCCTGAACCCAGAGCCTGGCCCTGCCGCTTTCCCACTGAGTGTTTTGGCCTTGTCATTGTCCTCGTGTACGATGTGGAGCTGGTGAAATTCCCTCAGAGATGTTGTGACGATTGAGTGGAATTGTGTTATATGTCATCACATCTCAGATAACGTTGGGTTATGACACACCCTTATTTTTAGGCCATTAAGAAACCAGAAATGCCAGTGTAAACCAGCTTGCTTTCCTGTGCAAGATGCCCCATGTTAAGATGTGGTTGGACAAAAACTGCATCTTAAAAAAAAATCAATAAGATGCAGTGTATATGAAAGTGCTTTGCTGTATAAGCCTCAGGAGTCATATTTAATCGTTATTATATGAGTCAGGGGAGTGCAACAAGGTTGTAAGAAGAATAAATACCAGTGGGAAGCCGAGGCCCGGCGGGATGAGAGAGCAGGTAGCTGCCAGGAGAGAGAGAGAGGAAGTCCCCTCCTTCCAGGTCGCCGTTCACAGAGAGCTGGCTCTCGGGGTCTGCCCCGCACTTAGCTGTCCACACGCGCACAGGTGTCTGCTTAGGGAGTTCTTGCCCTTCGTGACACTGGACTTCGAGAGGAATCTCCAATTTACTTTCCGTGTCTGAAGAGTGGATTTTCCTCTTCTAGATTTGTATTGGTTTAGAACTTGCAGATCCTTAGCAATCTTTGGTTAACTGTGATTTTTAAGTGCAGACTTGAGCAAGGCTTCAGCCAGCCTGAGCCCCACGTGGAACAATGTGGGTTTCAGCCTTGTCCCTTCACAGAGGGACCTCTTGTTACTGGCAAGGCATTGGGTTCTGTTTGCAGTTGATTTCAGACTCCTCTGCTCTTCGCCGAGGTCATTTTCATATTCAAGAACGTGTTTTGCTCACATAGGAGTTTGGGTTAGTTTTTGTTTTCTTCAGGTGCTCCAGGTTCACTTCAGGAAAATGGTGACATTGTTCCTTAACTTGTGTCCCTGCTTTCCCCTCGGTGCACTGGGACATTGAACTTACGTGTTGTATGTCAGTTATAGCTCCAAAAAGTGGGCGGAGCGGGGGTAGTTTATTTCTTATTCGAACACCACTGGGCAAAAGAAGAGCTTCAGAATAGCTCTGGTTGAATAGGATGTTTTCCAGATAATTCTTGGCCGAAAGTAAAGTTGCATTTTGTTTTGTTTTGAAAAACACTCCTTTAAAGATGTAAAAGTCATTCTACGCTGGAATTCTACCCCCCCCCCCCATGCAAAAAACAGGCCCCAGGCTGTAGTTTGCAGACCTCTGCTCTAGTAGAAAGCTCTTATTATGACCAAGGCTCCTTGGAGAAGTGGCTGATTCTAAAGCTGGAGAGTAGGGAAAATAGAAGAAAAGCCTGGAGCTTTCCATGAGGAGGTGTTGGAGAAAAGATGGGGCATGTCCAAAAGACCCAGTAGTCAACTTGAAAAAGCTGCCAGGGGCCAAAGCTGCAATGTTTCCAGCTATGAAATAATGTTAATGATGGATTATAACCCAAAGAATAGAAAATAAATATCTGTGAGTCCGTAACTAAATAAAGGACCAGACAAATAATTAAGGGAGCAGAGACCCATCTTCCTTATGGAAGAATCCCACGTAGTAAATGTAGAAGGAATGAGGGCCATAGACGATCACCCATTAGAGCATTGTAATGGTGATTGCTGCAGGTTAAGACGCAATGGCAAGTGTGAAAATGAGTGTGTAAAACTTCAGGGAGACACAGGATGTTTGCACAGCCTCAAAGTGTCTCCCAAATATTAATTACCTTGGTAGTGGTGACATATGTCTGTAGGTTCTATAGTGTTCCTCCCTTCAAGGAGCACAGCTTAAATCCTCTTCTCTGTGAGTGTGCCGTGGACTTTGTGACCCGCTTTTAAGGAATATGTAAAGGGGGAAAGTGGTAACTTCTCAGTGGTGACACCTGGCAGAAGCCACGTGGGCCAAGTGGCTTGATGAGGGTTCATGTCACTGGGAGCAAGTTGTGCTGTGTGCTCGTGACGTGATGTGACGAGAAGGGCAGTGTGCCCTGTGATATTCTAGATTCTTCCCACGTATCCGTGACCTCATTCTAGTCAGTCAGGCAGAAGGGATCAGGCCACCCGGGCTGAGGAACATTGTACAAAATGCTGACCGACGCTCTTCCCTGGTGTCCAGGCTATGACACCCGGGGGAAGACTGAGGAACCACGGAGGGGGTGAGATGAGTAAGCACAGCCCTGGGAGCCTGGGCTGGAGCCTGGGAAAAAAGAGGAAACGGCAGAAGCTGTGAAACCTGGATGAAGCTGAAAGTTCAGTTAGTAGTATGGCCCCAGGTTACCGGCTTCGCTTTGGTGACTGCTGTGGGGCACAAGGTGTTGATGTCCGAGGAAGCTGTGTGTGGTGGGGCTCAGAGGGTCTCTGCAGCTCTTCCGTAAATCTAAGGTTATTTCCATATTCAGTTTTTTTTTTTTTTTTTTAAACCCTGACTCCTTATCCTGGATTGATCATCCCCCTTATCTTGAGCATCTAGGCATTATTTTATTAACTCTTGGTCCCATTTTCATTGGGTGGAAAATATGTAAAGTAAAGTTGATTTGCAAAGTAAAGTTTGCAAAGTAAAGTTGATCTTGGAATGTCCGTCTTGTTAATATTAGTTATTTCTCTTTCCAGGGGAGGCACCTGCTGCAGAAGTTTCCTCCTCTTTTGTGATCCTGTCTGTGTGCAGTTTAATGATATTAATAGTGTTAATTGCAAACTGTGTATCCTGCTGTAAGGACCCGGAAATAGACTTCAAGGTGAGCACAGATGGTGGGGACATTTAAAAATCATCTGCTGATACCTTGATCATTGGAGTCCCTTGGGAGCAAGGGCTGGCCAATTTTTTCTGTAAGGGCTGTATAGTAAATATATCCTGCCATTGTAAATAGTAAATACTGTGGACCATACAGCCTCTGTCAAGGCTCCTCAGCTCTCAGCTCTGCCATTGTAGCGCTACATTGATACAGATATGAAAGGTGAAACCAAACGGTTGTGGCTGTGTGCCAGTAAAACTTTATTTACAAAAATAAGTGGTTTGGATTTGGTCCAGCAGCTGTAGTTTGCTGACCCTGCTTTAGAGCATCATTGACAATAACCACTTGCCTGTTTAATTTTCGCTAGGTGAGGAATAAAGTATGATTGAATTCACTAGCTATAAAGCCTATAAGGAAGAGCAGGCTGATTTTTTTTTCCCCCTGAACTTTAGCATGCTGGTGAGTTTGTGGTGGTTAAGATTATTGAGGCCAAAGGACGCCCCAGTGTGTTTTGTGTATGAGAAACCGCATCTTTCATTTTACCTGAACCCTCGAGTTCTTTGAGGGGAAGAAAGAAGAATCCTACCAATTAGAAATTCTGGTGTGGGGGGGGGGTGGTGTGTGTGTGGCGGGGGGTGGGGAGACACTATAGAAGGGCTGGTGTTGTAGCTGCAGATGGGTGGAATCTGCCAGAAACCAGCTGGGATATCCTGCTCTGGAACTTACCACGTGCCTGCTGGTGTACATTAGGGCCTGGGGAATACTTGATAAAGAGGAAGACTTGAGAAACAAAAGGAATGCATGAGAGAAAATGATCTTTCTCTGGAGCCCTGCTGGTTGTCCTGGGGCTGTCCCCAGGGGCCCTGAGGGCCACTGGTTCAAATTGGGGGCGGAGGGGGGGCTGTCTTCTAGCTAAAACCTTCCTGCTAGTGGACACATCAGCCTTATTTCTAGAGCCTCACCCCTGTTTCTGTGTTTTCTTTACCTTGAGTCTGGTGGCAGCCCCGAGAGAGGAGGAGACGTGTTATCCTTTTGGTTTGATGCTAACATTACACACCAGGAAGGCTGCAGGAAAAGACTAGCACGGGCCATTTTTCTTAGAAGATTCTACCCCAAACGTGTGGGCTTCAGTAATCCACAGCTTTAGCCCCCAGGTCCTGGAATCACTATAGACACCTCCGTGGGAACTTGCCGACTACCACATGGTTGGGGGCGGAGGTGCACAGTGGTGGGCAGAGAACCTGTCCCTTGACCATCATTCTTGCCGAGGGACTGTGTACAGACGCCTTGTCTTTTGGGGACAAAGATAAAGTCTGATCAGCGTTGCTGAAACTAAAATCCAGTCACTCTCACGTGTCACAATGCCTCATTCTTGCCTTAGATTTTTCTGACCCAACTGGGTCTCAGTATTGACCCAGGGAGTTCATTGTGGCGTAGATTCTGCGAAGCAGTGTTTTTTTCCGCTTCCCCAGGTGGTCCTGGTACAGGCCACAGTACCACAGGCCACAGTGTGTACAGGATCCTCTCCAGCTGTGTAAGCCACGACCGAAGACAAGTGTCCACGCCTTTAGATTTAGAACTGCAGCGTTAGAGACCTTCGACCCTTGGAAGTCACGCTACAGACCAGGAGGCTACTGCCTGATAAAGGAAGCGACTTCCTGAGTGCATCTGGGCAGCTGCTGGCATAACTAGAAAAGCGACCCAGTCTTCTCACCAGCCTCATTTTTATTATTACGCTGTTTTACCTCTCTGCGTCTCTAGAATCATCGGCTGCCTAATGGTCTATCATGCTGCTGCCAGACTTTTGAGTGGCATTGTTTTTAAGTAGACGCAATGGATAAAAAGTCTTTTTTAACGAGAGAAGCTTTAGGAATGTCCAGAGGGGAAATTGAGCAAAGCTCTTCCATTGAGAGGTGCCTCAGAGATTGAAGTTTCAGCACCTCGCTGGTCCTACGCCCTCCCGTTAAAAACAGTGGTAACGTCCTAATGCATTTGACAGCATAGGTGACATATGTGAGAATAGTGTCCTCCCACACGCGTGTGAGATCATACATGTCCCATCAGACAGATCGACCCTTATAACTTCCCGGGGCTTAGTGGGGGTAGCAAGGGGAGGTGGCAGAAAAGGAAAAGGAAAAGAAGGATATTCTCTAGAGGAAAGGACAACGGTCTTGTTCGCAGATTATTCTCAGCTTCTGTTGCAGTGCTTGGTGGGGTGATATTCATTAATTATCTGAGTGAATGACCTTGATTGTCATCTGTATGAACGTGGAATTAACATGGACACCAGGGTGGACTGAGCTCACTGGAATGATAACAGCAAGAGTCAGGACAGCTCTCTGCTGACTGAGTCACTGAAAAGATTTTCACACCTGTATGGGCGCAGCCTCGGTGTTAAAGTTGCCATCTTCAGAAAACCAGATGTTCTTAGTGTGTTGAAGGTACTTATGTGCTACACAGTGTCATACTGACCGTCGTTCACGTCTTGATGGTTTTTCTACACAGTTTAGTAATTTTCCCATCGTTACTCTTTGCAGAGAAACAGGACTTCCTCAAAAATACCGTTTTTGGGTCTTTAACTGTCCCTATTTTGATTGAAATCATAGCAGAATACAATTCTAATGCAATTAGAAATGAGCATGTAGTTTTATAATAAAACGAATCTGTTTTGATTCCGTGTGCAAAGGGATCTGTGAAAATGAATAATAAAGAAAAAAGATTAGCCTAAGCTCTGGTAACTTAAAAGCAAAATTTCAGACCAGAAGAGTGTTTCCACTTGAAGTTCCGTGGTCATTTTAGACAATTTTGCATTTAACCTCAAGCTTTCAGTTGAAAAAGTTTAATACAAAGTATGTATAACTTATTAAACCTTATTTATTCTGCCGTTTGGTGTTGGAGAGCACAATTACATATGCTTTTTACTCAAGTAGGTGCAAATTGGGGGAAAAAAACCCAAGGCGGCATGTTTCAAATGAGTGAGTGAGTCAATGTTCTCATGTCCGATGTTAGCATACGTATTCTTAATATTTGTTCTCACGTTGGTTTATATAAGATATAACATTGATCGTCTCTTATTTTAGGAATTTGAAGATAATTTTGATGATGAGATAGATTTCACACCACCAGCAGAAGACACTCCGTCTGTCCAGTCCCCAGCAGAAGTTTTCACACTTTCAGTACCAAATATCTCCCTACCAGCTCCGTCGCGGCTCCAGCCTTCCATAGGTAAGGCCTTGCATCTGGCGTCATGTTTTCCAAATACTTGGGTCGCCTGTCTCGTCTGCTTGCTTCTTTCTTTTTCTGCTCTCTGGGGAAGCCGAATTGTAGGTAGTGGTCGGGCCCACTGCATGCCTGCACAAGCTGAGTCCTTTCCTTCTGGACCCTAGATCTGGTGTAGGAATAAAACTGGTCGCCTCCGATCATTGAAGTGGAACTCTCCCACGGAGCTCCTGGCCTTCCCTTGGGTTGAGAGGCTTCTCTCCTAGTTCTTGACGCAGCTTGCCTTGCTGAGTAGAATGCTGCCGTCTTTCCGGGGATGTCCTGTGTTTGGGGAGGAGGGGTTTATTTGGATATGCTAATCGGATTGATTTTTCATCCTAAGATAGAGGTTTGGTTAGAGATCGATTGGCTTCTTGTTGTAGAACAGAAATACTAGCAATTCAAGAGTCAGGGATTTCTGAGACCACTTGGGAGAGGCTCTTCTCTCTGTGAGGGGCCATTCCTGCCCCTCGTGGTGCTGCGCCCAGTGGTGCGGGCGTGGGGCCGTGCGCACCCCGCAGTGGATTGTGCTGCTGGAGGCATGCGTGACTGAAGGGAAAAGTCAGGTGAGACATGACACAGCTGGTGCATTTCATATGAAACATTTGTAAAGTTGGTAAATTTTAGTATTGGTGGTTTTTGCAACACTAAAAAGCTAACATGTAGTATCTACCTTCAATTTTTGTAAATAGTAATACCCTTGCTTTGACCAAAATAGTGAAATTTAAAAGTAAAATAGTAAAATTCAAAAGGATTGGGATATCCTGGGGATAACCTAAGTAACCTGAGTGCACGTATCCGCAAATGGAAAGATTTTCTCCTATCTTTGCTTACTCGATAATAGGCTTTCCTTTACATGTAAGGGAAGGCCTGAGAGAATTCTCTAGGGCCTTTACCATCCTGGAGTCTTAACACCCATGAATCGATTTCAAGTAATAGAATCTTAACTCAGATCAGTGTACATAGAAAGGGGATTCTTCGGACACTTGGAACCAGGCGATGGGGAAGGGTAGGGGTGAGGCTGACCGTGGAGACAACTGGCGCTGGGAACTTGGATGCCATCGCGCTTCTCGTCCATCTTTGATTTCTCTCCTCTGTGTGTGTCGGCTTAGATCCCGCACACCGGCTTCTTTCGCCAGCTCGGAGCGTGGCTGCTGCCACTGCCGGGTTCGTGTCCTTGTAGCTTTACTACCAGAAGAAAGGAGCTTCCCTCTCCTCGGAAGACCCTCCGGAGAGGCATCCCGGTTGGCTTCCCCCAAGTCTGATGATGTTGACCCCTCACTGTGGGCAAGAAGGCGCGGCAGAGAAGAGCCTTACGACTTCTGTCCGAGGCATAGTGGGGATGGACCAGAGCCCTGTAGCGAACACAGCGGAAATGGTAGTGACCCGTACAGCCATCCGCATTATGTTCATACACCTTTCTAGTTTCTGAAGCCCTCTATTCTAAATTCCTTCTTTTTTTTTTTTTTTAAGTTTATTTATTTTGAGAGAGTGAGAGAGACTGTGCAAACGGGGGAGGGGCAGAGAGAGACGGAGACCTAGAATCCCAAGCAGGCTCCACACTGTCAGCAGGAGCCTGATGTGGGGCTCGAACTCATGAACCGCGAGATCATGACCTGAGCCAAAATTAAGAGTTGAATGTTTTAATTGACTGAGTCGCCCAGGCGCCCCTAAATTCCTTCTTAATAGGAAGAAATTACTTTTGATTTCTCTGCATAGAGACTATTCTGCGTAGAATAGTCACAGAATATTTTTATGATCTTGGGATATAAGAGGCCTAGCCAAGCTTGGCACTAAATGCAGAAACCATAAAGGAAAATATTGACAAATTTGATGCATAAAATGGAATATTCTGTATGGTAAAAGACACCATAAACAAATTTGACATAGTAGCCAGAATATTTGTAAGCTACAAAAAATGTCTAAAAAAACCCTGTTATATATTAATATATATTAAGATTACAAACAAATGCATAAGACGACGACTAACAGTTCAATAGGCAAAAATAAGTCAAGGATGTAAAAGAAGAAGTTCATGAAAAGAAATTTAAGTGGCCAATAAAAAAGGAACTTCACTATTAATTAAAGAAATACAAACTTAAAGTAGGAAATACAAACTTTAATTAATACTTAAAGTATTAATTAAAGAAATACAAACTTAAATAACAGATTGGGGCGCCTGCGTGGCTCAGTTGGTTAAGCGTCCGACTCTGGCTCAGGTCATGATCTCTCATTTCGTGGGTTCCAGCCCCGCGTCAGGCTCTGTGCCAACAGCTTGGAGCCTGGAGCCTGCTTCGGATTCTGTGTCTCCCTGCCTTTCTGCCCCTCCCCTGCTCCTGTTCGTGTATTCTCGCTCGCTCTCTCTCTCTCTCTCTCTCTCTCTCTGTCTCAAATAAATAAACATTAAAAAAAAAAAGATAACAGTTCAACAAAGAGAAGAAAGGACACTGGTTGGTGACGGGGAGGGATATGTGTGGGAAACAGGCACTTGGACACTCACTGTTAGCTGGACTGTAAATTGATAGAGACATTCTTTCCGTAGGGTAGTCTGATAGTATGTATCCAAGTGTAGAATGTGTTTACACTTGATCCCGCAGTTCCACTCTTAGTAGCTTTTTGAGGTCAGTAGGCAAGTAAGTATCTGCAAAGGAGTTTATTGCAGCATTGTTTGGCAGTGTAAGAGTGGAAACATTAAATGTTCGTATGGAACTCATTAAATGATGGTAAGTCCATACGTTGGAGTATTATGTAGTCCTATAAAAGGATGAAAGGTACTGGTGATGTATTAAGTGAAAAAAGTACACCGCATATTCAAAAGCAAGTCTATTAGAAACTCTACCCTTTTTCCTTTTAAAATTTATTTTATTTTTTGAATAGATAATATAGTGATACATTTGGTTCAAAAACCAAAATGTAAAAAGGTATATATAGTGAAAAGCCTCTAATCTTTGAACCTGACCTCAGCTTCTACCCCCAGCGTCTGTACATAACCATTCTTCTTGGTTTCTTATACCTCTTTCCGGACTTTCTTGATGTAAATATTCCCATTTACCTGCTGCCCCTCCCCCCCCCACTTTTTTTTTTACTCATAGGTGGCATCATAAAATATGCTTCTTGCTTTTTTTTCCACTTAGATAAACCTTAGAGATATTTCCATTTGCATAAAAAGAGCTTATTTATTCCTGCTTACAAGTTTATACTATTGAGGGGTGCCTGGGAGGCTCAGTCCGTTAAGTGCCTGACTTCAGTTCAGGTCATTGATCTCACGGTTTGTGAGTTCGAGCCCCGCAACAGGTTTTTTGCTGTCAGCACAGAGCCCCCTTCAGATTCTCTCTCCTCCTCTCTCTCTGCCCTTCCCCTGCTCGTTCTCTCTCTCTCAAAATAAATAAACTTAAAAAAAAGTCTGTACTATTGAAATTGTATGGACCAAGCACAGTTTATTTAACCAGTCTCCTAGTGATGGATATTTCGGTTGTTACTAATCTTATGCCATTAGAAACAAAGGTTTCACCTATGTTGGTCTGCACACTGATGTTGGGCTAGTGTATTTGTAGAATAAATTTTCAAAAGTGGCCGAAGAGTGCATGTGTTTGTAATTTTGAGGGCTGTTGCCAGCTCCCCCTCCACAAGGAGTTGTGCTCATTTATGTTCCTGCTTGTGGGTTTCACTTGGTCTGTGCTGTTGCTGAAGCTCAGGTGGTATCAGTTCAAGTTAGATTGTTGTAAATTTAGGGTGAGAACTGTAATCTCCATGGTAACCACTAAGAAAATAACTAGTAAATATGGAAACAGAAAATGAAAAAATCAAAATGTATACCAAAAATTAAATATACACAAAAAAGAATTTTTTGATGTTTCCTGATTTTAATATAGCCAAATTTAACAGCCTTTTAAGCTGGAAATTTTGCAGTCTCTTTTTTTAACTTCTAAATTTTTTTTTTTTTTTGAGTTAGAGCTTTTTTTTTTTTTTAAAATTTTTTTTTCAACGTTTATTTATTTTTGGGACAGAGAGAGACAGAGCATGAACAGGGGAGGGGCAGAGAGAGAGGAAGACACAGAATCGGAAACAGGCTCCAGGCTCCGAGCCATCAGCCCAGAGCCCGACGCAGGGCTCGAACTCACGGACCGCGAGATCGTGACCTGGCTGAAGTCGGCCGCTTAACCGACTGCGCCACCCAGGCGCCCCGAGTTAGAGCTTTTCATGTCTTAAGAAATCTTTTTCCATGCTGTGGTCAAAACAATAACTTAACTACTTTTTTTTCTACAATGTTTTAAGGTTTTGCTTTGACAGTTAATTTAAATCCATAGCCCATCCTGAATTGATTTTTGGGTATGGTGTTAGGGAATCCATGAGGTGGTTTGTTTGTTTGTTTGTTTGTTTTTACAGATTACTGTGTTTTTCTCAGCTTCATTCCCTGAGTGGCTCTTCCGTTCCTCCTGCTTTTTAGTTCCATATGTGTATGGGTCTGTTGTGGGCTTTCTGTTCTATTTCACTAATGTGTCAACTCCTTGTTCTAGTACCACACTGTTGTAATTATAATAGCTTCATAATAAATGATGTGATTTGCACATTTTGCTCCCTGTCGGTTTTTCACTCTTTCAGTAGTGTCCTCTGATACACAGAAGGTTTTAATTTTGATGAAGTCCAGTGGATCTTTTTTTTTCTTTTGTTGCTTGTGCTTTCAGTGTCATCCTTAAGAAATCTTTGTCAAACTCAAGATCATGAAGATTTACACCAGTGTTATCTTCTATGACTTCTATAGTTTTAGCTTTGGAATTTGCATTAATATTTGCATATGGTGTGAGGTGAGTGAGGGTCCAGGTTCATTCTTTTACAGGCAGACAGCTAGTTGCCCCAGCAGTAATTTTTGAAGAGACTTTTCTTCCCCCATTGAACTGTCTTGGGACCTTGTTGAAAGTCAGTTTATCACATTTGTGTGGGTTTATCTGGGGACTCTCGATTAATTCCATCGGTCTATGGTCTCGTCTAGCCTTACGCCGGTACCACACTGTTTTGATTATTGTAGCTTTGTGGTAAGTTTTGGAATGGAGAAGTTTGTGAGTCTTCCAACTTTATTTTTGTTTCTCGGGATTGTTTTGGCTATTCAGAGTCCCTTGCAATTCCATATGAATTTTAGGATCAGTTTTTCCATTTCTGCAAAATAGACCGTTGGGATTTGTATGTGCATGTGTGTACCATTTCGATTCCCTTCTCATTCCCTTTTGTTTATATTTTGTAGATATTTTCTTGGGGATTACAGTTATCTTAAATGTATAACAATTGTATTTCATCTGATACCAACTTGACTTCGTTACCATATAAAAACTCTGCAACGCAGTCCCGTCATTTTATGTTACCAAAAATTACATCTGCATACATTGTGTGTCCACTAACATAGATTTATAATTTTTTATGTGTTCATCTTTTAAATCATGTAGGAAATACAAAGAGGATATATACACGAAAAATACAATAATGCTGGCTTTTATATTTACCAGTGATATTTATTTGTTCTTATGTCTTCCAGTCACACTTTAGCGTCTTTTTGTTTCAGCCTGAAGGACTCCCTTTAACCTTCTTGTTAGGTATAGTGGCAGCAGTCTCCCTAAACTTGTGTTTATCTGGAGATGTCTCAATTTCTCCTTCATTTTGAAAGACCACTTTTCCAGGTGTAGAACTCTTGGTTAATGGTTATTCTCCATTGGCTCTTTATATGCGTCATCCCGCTGCCTTCTGGCCTCCATGGTTTCTGATGAGAAATCAGTTGTTAATCGTATTGAAGATCATTCGTATGTGATGAGTTGGTCCCTTTTGCTGCTTTCAAGGTTCTCCATCTTTGCATTTCACAGTTTGATTATGATGCATCTCAGTGTGGGTTTCCTTGAGTTTGTCTTAGTTGGACTTTGTTGAACTTGTTGGATGTGTAGATTCATGCCTTTTATCAGATTGGGACATTTTTAACCACCGCATCTTCAAATATCCTTTCTGACCCCTTTCCCCTCTTTTCCTGGGACTCTAGTTATGTGTGTGGATTGGTCCACTTGGTGGTGTCCCATAAGTCCCTTAGCCTTTGTTCATCGATATCTTTTTTCATTCTTTTTTCTTTCCACCTCTCAGCCTGGATAGTTTTATTTGAACTCTCTCTAAGTTCACTGATTCTTCTGTCTGCTAACATCTGTCGTGGAACCCCTCTAGTGAATTTTTTTTGTTTCAGTTATTACACTTTTCAGCTCCAGATTTATATTTGGCTCCTTTTACTAATTTGTATCTCTGTTGATCTTCACTTACCAGAACATCGTTCTCCTGGTTTCCTTTAGTTCTTTGTCCATGATTTCCTTTAGCTCTTTGAGCATGTTTAAGACCATTGATTTAAAGTCTTGTCTAGTAAGGCCACCATCTGTTTTCTCAGGGGCACTTTCTTTTACATTTCCTTTGTACATGTGGGTGGGCTATACTTTGTTTCTTTGCATGTTTTGTACTTCTCTTGTTGAAAATTGGACATGTTGAATGATATGAATGTGCACAGAAGAAGAAAGAAAAGAAAGGAAAAAAGTATTCTGTGGGTCTTTGCCGATTAGCTCTGCGTTGGGACACTCCTTACCCAGGCCACTTACAGCTCTGCTGGAGTCCTCACCTCCTGCCTTTGCGGGGCAGAGAGCCTAGCCAGAGGTGAAAGTTATATTCTTGTCAAGTCTTTTGTGGGCGTGCCCTTCCCTGAACGTGAAGGTTCAAGTTTTCTTCATATGTTGCAATAGCTTTTCAAAGACCTCCCCCTCCCACCCCCCCGCAAATCTCACTCCCCAGCTTTTCTGCTAAAGCTTTCAGTGTGTCTGTTGTTTGCCTCAGTTGTTACTTACTTATTTATTTATTTATTTGCCCCAAGTGGAAGTGTCTTGTCCATTTGGCTTTCACTGTTTTTGAGGAACACTCCATCCTGATAGAGTTCTGAGTTTGTGAAACCAAGGGAAGCCGCTTGAGGCAGTCCTTGAGGGAAACCTCTGGTGAAAAGAAACACAGTGCCTGGGGAATGATAAGGTCCACTGTGCTCTCACTGGAACATGTGTTGTCATTAAGACCGCTGTTGGGTGGGGTTCTGATAAATTAAAAGACCCAAAGAAATTGTACCCTGTTTCAGTGGCCTTTCTCCTGGTTTGATTTGGCTGCTATAAATCTTTGTCTTCCAGAATTCTGATAAAGTTGACACTTATGTTTTTTTTTTCTTCTATTTAATTTTTTAATTTACATCCAAGTTAGCATATAGCTTAATAGTGATTTCAGGAGTAGATTCCTTCGTGCCCCTTCCCCATTTAGCCCATCCCCCCTCCCACAACCCCTCCAGGAACCCTCAGTTTGTTCTCCATATTTATGAGTCTCTTCTGTTTTGTCCCCCTCCCTGTTTTTATATTATTTTTATTTCCCTTCCCTTAGGTTCATCCTTTTTGTCTCTTAAAGTCCTCATATGAGTGAAGTCATATGATTTTTGTCTTTCTCTGACTGATTTCACTTAGCATAACACCCTCTAGTTCCATGCACGGACACTGATGGTTTTTGACAAGATACTCACTTCTACACTGGAACTCAGGACTAAGTAAAAGCCAGTGGAATGGTGATCAGTAGTTAGGGTCGAGTAGGTTAGATCAGAAAACACAGTGTCTGGGTGTGTGGGTGGCTCCATCGGTTAAGCATCCACTCTTGATTGCAGCTGGGGTCACGATCTTGTGGTTCGTCAGTTCAAGCCCCCACGTTGGGCTCTGCACTGACAGTGTGGAGCCTGCTTGGGATTCTCCCTCTCTCTGCCCCTCCTCTGCTCACATGGATGTTCTCTCTCTCTCTTTCAAACAAACAAAAAAACAGTGCAAAGCATTTAAGAATCAGTAGGAAACTCATTCAAAAAGATTTTGTCAGTCTTAAAACTCGAAACCATTTTGGCAGTATTGGTTTGAAAGTGATGATATATATATATGTATATATATATATGTATATATATGTATATATGTATGTATGAATTTATATCTACCTTTATTTTCTACCTTTGTGCTGACATGCTGTAACTTTATGTTCATGTTTATACTTTAGATTTTGTCTCTAATATTTATTGTATGTCAGGTAAATGTCCATATTTAGTTTTTATGTTCTTCTTCCTACAGAAGGTTTGAAGTCCCAAGTTGCCCGCCACAGTCTGAACTATATACAGGAAATTGGAAATGGCTGGTTTGGAAAGGTAAGATGTTCACATTTACTTTTTTTCCTTCCTAGTACTAGTGTTTAGATTTTGAAGCTAATTAAGAATTGTTGTGTGTGACATTCCACATTCTCTTTGGATGCTGTGGTACGGATTGATTCTCCTCATTATGCCTGAACCCCCCCCCCCCCCCCCCCGAAAGGGGGGGGGGGGGGTCCAGGTGGATACGTTTTTCCAAGAAGGCCTTTTATTTATATAGCAGATGCTTTTCTTTTTTTTTTTTTTTTTTTTTTTAATTTTTTTTTTTCAACGTTTATTTATTTTTGGGACAGAGAGAGACAGAGCCTGAACGGGGGAGGGGCAGAGAGAGAGGGAGACACAGAATCGGAAACAGGCTCCAGGCTCCGAGCCATCAGCCCAGAGCCCGACGCGGGGCTCGAACTCACGGACCGCGAGATTGTGACCTGGCTGAAGTCAGACGCTCAACCGACTGCGCCACCCAGGCGCCCTAGCAGATGCTTTTCTAATTGTTGGTGCAAGAACAGTAAGCAGGGAAAAGAGCCTGGAATTTTGGAAGCTTTTTATCCTCCTCAAGTTAAACTATTATTTTATTTATTTATTTATTATTTATTTTTATATTTTTATTATTCTTTTCATTCTTCTCCCCTTCTCCCTCCGTCCCTCCCTTGTGATACTGAAACCACTTTAGAATTCTTGATGCATCGGGGCGCCTGGGTGGCGCAGTCGGTTAAGCGTCCGACTTCAGCCAGGTCACGATCTCGCGGTCCGTGAGTTCGAGCCCCGCGTCAGGCTCTGGGCTGATGGCTTGGAGCCTGGAGCCTGTTTCCGATTCTGTGTCTCCCTCTCTCTCTCTCTGCCCCTCCCCCGTTCATGCTCTGTCTCTCTCTGTCCCAAAAATAAATAAAAGTTGAAAAAAAAAAAAAAGAATTCTTGATGCATCGTAGTATTGTAATGAAAACCACGACAAAGACCTGTTCTCTCTTTCTCCTGGCCTGTCAAGGGACGAATGGTAACAGTGCTTTGTTGATCCTTTTACCACGGGGTGTTCAGAAGGAATCATTTTATTACAACAGCTAGTTCCGTGATGTAGCTAGCAGTCATTCTGGGTAAAAGGTTCCTAACTGAGCAGCGATTGCATCGTAAGCAGGGTGGTCAAGACAAGATGTATGTGCTCAGTGGTCAGCCGTGTTACGCACCTTGCTTTCCATTCAGAGTCGTTTGTCAGTCCTGTATCTTTGATGTCATGCAGCCTTTATTAGTCACTGAATCTTCTAAGCCATATAGCAAAACCTATTACATATCACATTGTTCTCAACGTGGAGGGTATAGCGTGGGGGACGATGGGTGAAGTCCTGACCTGCGTGGAGTCTACGAATGTAGCAGCAAACGAGAGAACACTGCCCCGACAAAGGCTAAATCTCTAGCTGCGGAGAGAGTGTGTGTGGGGGAAGATCAGACAGTAAACATTCAGGAGGAGGAGACGGGCCCAGAGGGGTGTGGGGGAGCCAGGTGACGGGAGACAGCATATGCATCCAGAGACTTTTACTCAGAGTGAAGTAGGAGAGGACTCGGGCGTCTGAGACCCGAGGGATGCAGTCTGGCTTCCCTTCACAAGGACCAGGCGGGCAATTATGTTGTGGAAGGCCAAGGGGAAAGTGGGGAGATTGCTTAGAAGGCTACTGCAGCCATACGGGCGAGGTGCAGGCATGCTTGGATGATAGCACGGAGTGGTGACAAGTGGTGCGAGTCGAGATGGAGTTTGCGATAAGAGCGTGCGGGACTGGGGACGGGTCAGATGTGGAGTCCGGAAGAGGGGGGGTCAAGGATGGCTGCTGTGGCCCGGTTGGTGGGAAGCAGAGAATTACTGTCAAGCGAAACGGAAAGATTAAGGAGAAGCAGGCGTGGAGGAGGAGGAGGTCGGGAGTTCGCTTTTGGGTAGGTTAGGTGTGCGATGGCTCGTGGGCATCCAGATGGAGAGAGGAGTAGGCCGTTGGAAATACACACCTAGAGTTCAAGGGCGAGGGTCCAGGCCAAAGATAGACATTTGGGAGAACTCAGTGTATAGCCGGAAGTCAAAGGTAAGAGGCCAGATGGAATCACCGAGACCCTGAACGTGGAGGGGAAGGGGAGGCAGGGGGACTGAGCCCCGAGGGTCTGGTTGGGAGGGGTCAGCGCAGTCAGGGAGAGCTGGTGACGGAGACTGAGGTAATTGGCCACTGAGGAGGAGGGGGCGCAGGATAGCGGGGTGTTCTAAGGGTCGGCGAAGAAGGAGACCCAAGAAGATAAATGGTAGTGACTGCTGCTGGCAGACTAAGAGAAGGCTGGGAAAAGTGGGACTCGGCCACGTGAGGTCCGTGGTATTGTCAAAAGAGGCTGTTTTTGGGGGGTCACGTCGTCACATGTAGGCGCAAGGGAGAAGGTGGAGACGGCTCGTGTCGACGACCCCGTTGAGGAGTTTTACCGTAAAGGGAGCAGAGACGTGGAGTACGAGCCGTTTGGGGCCGTCCCAGGGCCAAGGGAAGGTTGTTTTGGTTTGCTTTGCTTTTTATAGGCTGTGTAGCTATTTTAGCCACTTTATGCAGTAGGGGAGGAAGTGATAGTGCAGGAGAGGGCAAGGGGGGGATGCTGTCAGAGTTCTCTTGAAACGGGAATAAGAGCAGCGTGTGGGTACAGGTGCTGGTATAAAATGGGGAAGTCCACGTCTGGCTACTTTATTCAATGAACAGAGGCCAGTTTGAAAGGGAGGAGTCAAAAGACATGTTGGGGCTTGAACAGGAGGAGAGGGTGTGAAAGAGTCCTCCCGGGAAATCCATCCGGTGGGGAACGCAGCGGGAGGATGGGAATGCTGAGGACCCTCACAGATTTGAAACGAGGCCGGTCGCCGTGGTCGTGTGTGCGCGTGTTTTGTCTACATTCGGTGTTACTGTAGGCAGGTAGTTGAGTGTTAGCGGCACCGGGGTTTGGCTGAGCTCCTAGGCCTCAGCAAGAGTGGTGAGAAGGGGGTGGTGGTAGTGGAGGATCATGGGCCCTAAGCTGCCAGGGAGGGGAGGGGGCCCTGTGGTAGGGCAGGTGGTAGAGGGCTGCTGTCGTGAATGGATCTGGAGGCCAGGTTGTGCACTTCTTGGGTTAGACGGTTCAAGTGAGCTGGAAATCAGAGGACTGGTAGAGAAGGAGAAGTTAAAATTCAAGGTTAGGGGGGCATCTGGGTGGCTTAGTCAATTGTGTCTGCCTTCAGCTCAGGTCATGATCTCACGGGTCATGAGTTCAAGCCCCATGTTGGGCTCTGTGCTTACAGCATGGAGCCTGCTTTGGATCCTATGTCCCTCTCCCTCTCTGCCCCTCCCTCACTTGTGTTCGTTCTCTCGCTGTCTCTCTCTCTTTCTCTGTCTCTGTCTCTGTCTCTCTCTCTCTTTCCCAAAAATAAAAACATTTAAAATTCAGGGTTTGGGACATGATCCAATTATTAGCTAGGTCTAGACCTGTGGGAGTTTTTTTGCCAAGATTGGGTCATAGAAAAGAGTATTGGAAGTGAGGTAGAAAACCTAAGAGGTCAAGATGTTGACTGAATTGTCCCTGCTGACATTGAAGACCAAGGATGATGGCAGCGGTGGTAGAGAGAGTGAGATTATCCTGATCTTTTCTGGAATTGATATCTGATCAGTGTTAGGCTTATGGTAGATGTGCAGGCTAGTTATTTGAAACCAGGAATATGACAAGGTTATCAGAATTTCTTGTCTGTTTCTTTTTCTGCCCTTACATTCTTTAATAAACACAATACATGCTGTTCACTTATTCTCAATTTCCAGGGCCTTAAAGTGAATCTACTCGATAAAATATTAAAAACTATTTCAAAAAGAAGGCTTTTAGTTTTGGCCATTCTTGAATTAAATGAAAACTTTCACTTCATCGTCATTTTCATCTTAAATATTGTATTTTTGGAACACCTCTGTATTGCCCAATGTTGTATTTGGTATTTTGCTCGTCTTGTGCTCGTTTTCATTCATTTTGTATTCTGTTGCTTTCGGTGGCATATTTTTTCCTTGTGTTTTAACTGAGGTTTCGGTATAAGATAAACGTCTGGAATAATTGCGATGCCGTAGATTTTTAAAGTCACAATGCTGTGATAATATGTTTGTACGCTGCTGTTTGTCCCTTTACTTTCTCTTATGTGAAGGAGACAAAATAACAAAACCCAGCTGAAGTGTTTTGAGAAACATTTGAGTTCTGTTTGAACTGAACTTGTAAATAACTCTTCTGTGATGTCACCGGTAATATTTGTGAAAGTATAGTACATTTTTAAAATAAATAGAAAAGAAACACGGATACTTAGATGAATGCTGTCCATATCCAGCAAACAGCTTAAAACAAGGAAAACATTTTCATTTCACAAGCTTTTTCTGAGGTAGTATTTTCATAATAGAGGACCTTCTGATTGTTCCTTAATTTATTTTCCTGGATTCCATTTCCTGATGAATGAGACCTGCTTCTTTACCATTTCGATGGAAGTGAGATGAAAACCTGTTCTTTGTTTTAGGTCCTCCTGGGAGAGATTTACACAGGCACTAGTGTAGCGAGAGTAATAGTGAAGGAGTTGAAAGCGAGCGCGAGCCCAAAGGAACAAGATACTTTTTTGAAAAATGGCGAGCCTTACTAGTAAGTACCTTAAGATGTGTTTTGTAAACATAGTCCGGGGTCTGTTGAGGACCAGGTGTTTAAAATGACTTTGCAGTGTATCGTATTTAAATTGTGATGAATGTTAAAATTTAGATCACTGTCTGAACAGGTGTACTGGTGTGCTCCCTGATGAATGACACGTGACTTTTCTTTTCCCCAGTGTTCTTCAGCATCCAAATATTCTTCAGTGTGTTGGACAATGTGTAGAAGCAATTCCCTATCTCCTGGTGTTTGAGTTCTGTGACCTGGTAAGTTTTTAGTGGAAATTCAAGGTTAAGCGTTCAAAACGTGACACCCAAGTGTTTTTGACAGATAGAAATGCCGGATGAGGGACTACTTTCACTTCTGTCCCCCGTTTTAAAAACTTTACAATGTGCTAAGTCATTACCTTTTGAAAACAGTCCTGACGGACACTTACGTCAGCGTTGTTTTCACACTCCATCCCTATGCTGAGCTGTTCACATGCATTTCATCTAATCATATTTGTCCACACTTTCTATATGATTAAGGCTCACGGAGATTGAGAAAATGTTATTCATCAAAGATATGCCAGAGCCAGAGTTTGGATCTCCAGCATCCCCTTCCCGAGAGCTTGAGGTCTTGACCTCAGCTAGGCAGTTTGAAACACTTTTCCCCGGTGAGGTAATCGTCGTACCTGTAGAGTACCCGTGACCTGTCATGCTTTTAAAATAGTGAATGTACGTGCCGTTTAGATTTTTAAATAGATGATTTTTTTAACCCAAAATTAATAGCCTCACCTCTTCGCATGACAGTATTTCTGAGATTTATAAGTTGGAAAAACTGTGTTTGTGCAGTTTGTGCATAAAAGCTGCACAAACACGGTTTTTATGAATACTAATTTTTATGTGAAAAGTTCCTGTAAACGTGTTTTTTTTTTAAAAACTGGGTTTTGATTGATTTCTTTGCATCGTCTCAGTTTTCAGAACGTGAAAACATTAAGATCGTGCACGGAAAGGTGGGAGTACATCGAGATAAACCCCCAGTTCGTTCAGATAGTATTTTCAGCCGGCGAAATCAAAACGGGCAGTAACCATTGTGGACTTTTGTTCTAATTCCAAAGTGTGATGTGAATATTCCTCTTGTTAGCAGTGGTAGTTAATTACAAAGAAAAATTAATAAACTTGATATATTAGCTTTCATTGGATTATATCAGAGTAGCCCCCAATCTCAGCGACTGCTGAGAGCAGAGTGGTTCTCACTGATCTTGTACGTCAGCTCTGTTCCAGGCTGTGTTCAGCTTCACTCTAGGATCAGTGTATTTTATATTCTCTGTAGGTGCTGGGAGGGGGAGGATGTATATTCTGGTACATTCTGTGCAAGTGTATCTGTATAGGTCTTCTGGGTCAAGCATATGAGGTGATTCAAATCTCCTGCATCCTTCTGATTTGGGAGGGCATTGATAGAGGAGTCTGAGTCTGTTTTCTATCAGTTATTAAGAGGCATAGTAGAATCTGCTCTGATTACAGATTTTCCTTATAATTCTAGTTGTATTTGCTTTGAATGTTGTGTCAAGGATACAAATTTAGAATTGATGCAATGTCTTGTAATTTTAAGCTTTCATTATTATGAAGGGACTCTTCATAAGATTAAAAGCATTACTGAGGATTAAGTCTGTGCTTTACTGATATTAATATAGTTATCCCAGCCTTTTTTGGTTAGAATTTGCCTGGTGTGTCTAAGTCCTTTGGTTTACATCACCTGAAAATAGCTTGTCGTTAAAATTTTGTTAATCTGTCAGTCTTGATCACTTACCATGGAACATGTGGTCTGTTTATGTTTATTGCATTTATGAGATAGTTGGAATTTTTATGTACCTATCTTGTATTATTTTTCCTACCTGTTTCAATTTTTCTGTTTTGCTTTTCTGCTAGCCTTCTTCTGGATTCTTGGTGGGTTTTTTGGGGGGGGGTGGGGGTGGTGGTTGGTTCAGTTTTTCGCACCTACTAGTTTGGATTTTACATACTGTTCTTAGTTTTTGGTACGATGACACTGGAAGTTACAATATGCGTATGTAATTTGACTAAGTCTAAAATTAATATTTTAACCCTCCCCCAAAGAAGCTGGGACCTCCTAGAGCTTTCCCTCCATGTGAGGAAAACTGAAATCCCATTTGCTTTTTTGTCCCAAGCCCACATTTTCTCCGAACATCAAGGGTGCTTCTTTGTTGAACACCTGCTATTGGAAGACGAATTCCCACATGGATCCATGGATCCGGAGGGAGAGTTCGGTCACTGTCCTCTAGGCCTCCTTGGTAGTGAGAGCAGACATGTGACCGTGGTTATTTAGCCCGATAAACCTTTGAATGGAGGCATGAGAACTAAGAAGACGACGTACTCGATGACATTCCTGATTATTTTATTGCATTTACGTTTTGTTTTATCTCAACGTTATCAGTCATAATGTTTATGACCCTCGGTGATTACAACATGAGAACTGCTCCTTTTAGTCTGGCTCAGGCTAACTGATGTGACAGGTGATTCTTGTGCGGACAGCGTTTGAGAAGCGCTATGGTCTAGTGTCTCTGTGTGAGGAGACAAGTCTGCAGTCAGAGTTGTAGTTTTCTGAGACACTCTGTGGTGGCTCTTCTGGGTCCCTAAGCTCTTGATATTTTTTCTAAATAACAATCAAAACACTCTTCCTGATCAAACAACAAATATGTGGCAGGGAGCATATCTACTTGAAATACCACAATTCTCGTAATTATAAAACTATCTCAGGGCGCCTGGGTGGCTCAGTCGATTAAGTGTCTGTCCCTTGGTTTTTGGCTCAGGTCATGATCTTGCGGATTGTGGGTTCGAGCCCCCCATCAGGCTCTGTGCTGACAGTGTGGAGCCTGCTTGGGGTTTTCTCTCTCTCCCTCTCTGCCCTGTCTATTCCTAGAAGTTTTATTAGACATTATTGTTTTTCCTGGAATGGTAAAAGCTTCTGGATGCTCACCTTTTGTTGTCTTCTAAATGGTTCAGGCGATGGGTTTAGTTTTAGTGCTATTCTAATTCATTTTTTCACAAAGCTGCTTGTTCTTTTTGGGAGTAGTAGTTTAACCTACTTTATAAAGAAACTGAAACATTACAAAGCACACAAACAGCTCCTTTACAATTACTATAAAAAAGTCAGAATTGACAAGATTCAAGAGTATTCTTTGTATCTTTGTCATTATACATTTTTTAAAATGTTTATTTTTGAGAGAGAGAGAGAGAGAGAGCGTGAGCGAGCATGAGCAGGGGAGGGAAAGAGAGAGAGAGGAGACACAGAATCTGAAGCAGGCTCCAGGCTCCAAGCTGTCAGCACAGAGCCTGACGCGGGGCTCATACCCATGAACTGTGAGATCATGGCCTGAGCCAAAGTCGGACGCTGAATCGACTGAGCCACCCAGGTGCCCCTTATGTAAATATAATAAATACATGCTTTTTGTTAACATTCTTTTTATATGGTTTTTACCCAGGACATTTAGGTCTCACATTTCAATGCATATTCTCCAAGTACTTATTAGACTGAGTATGCAGAGAATATTAACTTACCTAAAGTTGTACTGGTTTCCATATTTTGGGATGAGGATTATGCATATAGCCCTCCACAATTAACAAATAAAACTTTTTTTTTTTTTTTTAATTTTGTACACCCATTCAACAAATACGACTCCTTGAAACATTTTATGTGACCCTCCTAAGTCGTCATGGGAGAATGTTCACTCCTGTAGCTAGATGTTTGGAAAGAGCTCCTCACCCCCACCAACAGCTTTCATTGGTGGTGCAGAGCTAATAGCTATTTTTAATTTAAGTGCACTGCCCAGCGGTACATTGATCAACAACAAAACCTTAAAAGCAGTCATTGTTTCTCAAAAAATTACAAGAGTTACCATACGACCCAGCAGTTTCACTTGGAGGGACATATATCCAAAATCATGGAAAGCAGCATCTCAAAGAGATGTTCACATGCCCCTGTTTATAGCGGCATGATTCGCAGTAGCCAAAAGGTAGAAGCAGTTCAAGAGTCCATTGGTGGATGAGTAAGTAAACAAAATCGAGTGTATACCGTGGAGTATTACTGAGTCTTAAAAAGGAAGGAAATGCTAACGCCTCCAACATGGATGAACCTTGAGGGCATGATCAGTGAGATAAGCCAAACCACTGGAAGAGGATCCTGCGTGGCTCCACCTACGAAGCATCTACAGCAGTCAGACTCACAGGGACCGAGAGTGGGATGGTGGTTGCCGGGGACTGAGTTGGGAGAGATGGGGAGTGTGCTTAATGGGGACACAGTCTCAGGTTGGGAAGATGAAGAGTTCTGGAGAAGGACGGTGGTGACGGTGGCACCGCAGCATGAATGCTCTTAATGCCCCTGAACTGTGCACTTACCAGTGGTTAAGATGGTAGTGTTACGTTACCAGTTTTTACCACACACGTGCAAATCGATGACTCCTTACTGTTATTTAAGGTGCCATCCCAGCTGGTCCCTGTGCTAGCAGGATGCTAGGAAGTGCTCCGAGTGCCCAGTCTCCTGTCCCAGTAGAGGCTGTTGACCCAGGGAACCCTCCACCTTGCCTAGCAGCGAGGGTCACGTTTGTGTCATTGGGCAGTTTCGGGCTCATCACCTCTGGGCCCTGCTAAGCTTCAGAGGGAGCGGGGTCACCAGCTCTGAAGTCCGCTTGCCCAGGCTCAGTGTGTGCAGTGGCTCCGTGGCAGGAATGGTCAGGTAGCATCATCCCAGTGAACCAGAGAGGGCACCCACCTGCGGGGATGTCCCACCGACACACCAAAGCCTCGCTTCAGTACTGAGCCCTGCTCCCGGCCTGGATGCCCCACAGCCCTCCCAGAAATAGGCCATCCAGAGCAGAGGGGCGTCACCTGAAGCAAAACCGCCCACTGGCAAGGATCCAGAGGACAGAGGGTAATAGCTTGGGCTTGGTCATAAGCAGCTGCGGCCACAGTGAAAGGAGCCACTATCTTCACATGTTCTTAGTAGGTCAAGAGCTATTGAATGAACATTGGCCTTTCAGTCGTCATCGGGCGGTGATCATACGCAACGATAACATCTTTTAAATAGAAAGGAGAGGATATTTTTGCACTTAAGTCATTCTGGTGATGTGGAATTACCGGTCTGTTGTTGAAAAAGCACTTTATCTTAGACTTTTTATGAAAGAAAACGAAGAGAGAGCGAGTCTGGTAGCTGGACTTAGCCACCAGTTTGGAACGCTCATGGTGCCGTGCTCAGGGAAGCTCGGAGCGAT